AGAGACAACCCAGGCTAGCCATAGCATTTAGCAGGCACGGCTATTCCTGACACAAGGAGTAACGCAGACCAAATTAAAAATGGCATGCCATTCCATCAATCAACTTTTGGCATGGGCCGTACTTGTAACCAAGCAAGTAGCACAGTTTAGGCATAAGAGACTATTGGGGAATAATCTGTGGTTCTCACTACGACAGTGGTATGCAAATTTAAATAAAATCAAATGTGGGAGTTTGAACAGTTTCTCTTGGCTTTTATTCTAACAGTCCAAGTAGTTGCAAAATATTTTAAACATTAACTCAATTTAAGAATCAAATCCATTCTTTTAAAATGGTAAGGTTATGATAGTATTTCATGTCCAGGTGAGGAACATTCCTAAATAAAAATGAGAGAACCCTGCATGGTTGATTGCAAGGAGTCTCACCTCTGCCTTAACTGTCAGAGGCACAGAGTTTATCCCCTAATGCAGGGATATTCTTGATTACATGAAGTATTAGGTGGTGATTTGTTAAATATTAAAAGGCCATTTGTTCAGTCAAAAGGCTTGGTTGGTTTACAAGTCTTGTACTTCAAGAACTCTGACCTATTTGAGGAGTCCGATTTCCTTAGCTCAGCAGTTATCCTTAGACCCAAAAACATCAAAACAAAAAATTATGCAATATTTGCAATGATCAGAAGCTAACAAATACTGGGCTTAGGCATTAACAAGAACGTTATGCAGTATCCTACAGAGCAGAGATGGAAAAACTGAGACCAGATCAGATATATTAGTGGTAAATTTTCTCTCCTTTTGCTAGGCCAGTATTTTTACATTGAGAGAGAGAAAAAAACCCTGCCAATTAAGTGGAAAAAGACTCAATGGAAAAACTGATGGCATAAAACTTTAACTCCTCTTTCAAATAAGAATTATTATGCTGACAGTTCTCCAAATTGTTATTGCCACAAGATTCAAAACCCAATTTAATCTTTTTAATAATTATATATTTATCTAAACCAGCCCAATTGATTACATACTATAAATGTTATTATTGAAAATGTATTTTCTTTAGCATGCTTAAGAAAGTAAGCATTTTCTAAATGCTTCTAAAATGTTTCTAAAAGAAGGCATGGATTACAATCAGGGTCATATTTAATCTCTGCCACACAGCAAAGAATCTGGAAGAGAAACACACACAAAAACTTTAATAGGTAGTATGGTTTACCCTTTGGTAACCTTCACAACCCTAGTCATAGACAGGATACAATTACTTGCATTTTGTAAGTGGGGAATGGAGGCTAAAAAACAGCAATTTTCTTGAGGCTATGCAGAAACTCATAAAGCAAAAATCGCAGGTACTTCCATGCTTTACCTGGCAAACATGACTGCTTTGGGAAAAACTGACACGCACACATAGAAGTCAGCCTGCATATAAAAGGATCCAATGCAATTCTATGTGCACTTGGGAGAATCATCTGCCACTTCCAAAGCCCTACCAGTTCAAGCTTCCTTTTTTAAAAATCATGTATGATACTTACAAGTTTTAACTCTCCCCCCTCCCATACACACAGCTACAAATTGCTTCAAGAGATGGGGTAAACTAGTTGCACCAAATCCAGAATGACATGGGGAAGGGTGCTCACCAAAGCTGAGTCTCACCAGCAAACAGAAGAGCTTTGGATTCAAAGGATACAAAGCTCCCACTGTGCAAGAAAAATCAGACTATTCTGCAGAAATGTAGTAAATTCTAAACTTTAACTGATGAACTTCTGGTTATAACCATATCAAAATAATTTCATAAGTAAAAAAAAAGATCTTACTGAAAACACACAATCCAAGTTTTACACACAGTCCCTTTAAATTTCTCTTGGTCTTGATCATACAAAGCATATCTTGAAATATGGTAATTCCAATAAACAAAACCTAATTTGCCCTGACTATCTGAGTAGAATTTTCTTTTCCACACTCATTTGTGACAGGTAAGTTTGTTCAAATATTGTGAAACTAAGGCCAGCCTAGGAATGAGAAAATACAGGTTCAAATCCCCACTTGGGCACGAAGCGCCTTCAGTGACCTTGGGCCAATAATGAACTTTACAGGGTTGTGAGGATAAATGAGGACCATGTATACTGCCTTGAGCTCTTTGAATGAAAGGAGGGAAGGAGAATATAGTGAAGGCTCTCTATATTGCAGCCCTGAGAAATTTTCATTGATAGTGCCCTTAGCAATTAAGACCTAATTGCTTGTCTGATTCATTTAACAACTTTTTGATCAGAAAATATGAACGTAATGCTTTTTTTTATAAATCTGATTAAAACACCTGCCATTTAAAAACCACAGCAACAGAACCACATGGCTTAACTGAAGTCACATTAAGTGAAAACCTACTAAATGACCAACATTGAAATCCCATCCATACCTCCTAGAGAGTAAGCCTCAGAATTCAGAGACTTGCTTCCAAGCAGATCTGCAAAGGATCACATAGCATTTATGCAGCAATGACAGTGTTTATGGAACAATGGTTTAATCTTTCAACTGGCATAATGATGCATTTGAGACACCAAGCACTATAACAAGAAACTGAAGTGTAAAGCATAAATATTAAATACATTAAAATTCACTGTTAGCCTAGATCCTAAAGCTCATGTCATCAAGTCCTCTAACCTTCATGTAACATTCCAGCCAGTCCAATATGACAAGGTTTTGAAAAATCCTGGATGCTCAATATGCTGGGAATCTGGAAATATTTATTTATTCCTATGCAAATCTTTCAGTGAATACCTTTATGTCTCCTGCCTATGAAATGGGATTATCTTTCCAGCCCCAAACATATAGTTTTATTTGTGATATCTCACTGACAAAGCAGGCAATGCACTATATCCCTATTCTCTGATGATAGTGCTACTAAGCCAAGTCAAAGTGAACTGTAGCATTGATAGTTTTGGACAGATCATGAACAGGTCATCCTTTTAACATGTTTCTCCCTCAGTCTAAGATAAAAACTTTCCTAGCCACATGGCTGCAAGCAGTTTCAAAGAACTGCTTCACTCTCTAAAAGAAAGCTGTATCCACCTACACCCCATTAAGATATAATTCACAGTGCAAGTATCTTTCTGCTTTGCTCCATCCTTCAGGACTCGGACCAACACATCCATAAGCACAACACAATGAAAAAATAATAAGGTATCTAACATGATTAAAGCTACTTCATTGCAGCATAGCTTAAGCCAGCAATCACCACACATTTCAGTCATGAAACCTTTCTGAAAAGGTTTTTCTGAAAAGGTTTTCAGAACCCTAACTCTAGCCTGATCTTTACTAAGTATTATGAACCCACAACATTCTTCCTTCTTTCATCTACTTCTATTGCCTGAGGGCTTTGCATTACACAGAAGGTTTGGAAATAAAGAGAAAAAAGACTAAATATAACAAATGAATAAAGCAATTATACGGTAATAGCCCAAATGAAGTCTTTCCATTATTCCCAACACTAGCAATAGAGTCCTAGGACCAAATGACATGATGCATTTCCTTGTCTGCTGCTTGGATGCCAACTGACAATTGAATAGCTGGCCTCATGGGTTTCATTTTAAAATCCGTTTTAAATTTGACTTTTGAGATATTTTATGGAACCCCTATAAGGCTTTTGCGGAACTCTAGGGATCTGCAGAATAGAGTTTGGGAACCACTGGCTTAAGCCATCACAAGTCAGCGCAACTCAGAAAATCTTGGCATGCTTCCAGAATCAGAATAATCCATCAGCCTTCCAAAAAGCATTTCTTTATGGAAGCAAACTTAAGTATCTTGTCTACTTACAAAGAAGCAGGGGAAGTCTCTACATGACTACTCAGAAGTAAGCATGGCAAACCTCTTTAGGACATTCTCAGAAGGAAGTAAAATGGATTCATTCAGTAACTTCCACCCACCTATTCCCAAATTATAGTTTTATAAAGGCTATAAGCTGCATGCAGCACCTTCCTACCTGCTTTACCTGCCACCCTCTTCATTAATTGTTACAGACCATTACTGTTGCTCAGTCAAACCACAATTAAGTAGCAAACCTTGGTTTAAAGCTTTTTTGCATTCCTAACTTGTTTGGGTCTAGAAAACCATAATCTCAGGTTTAGATGTCACACAAAGCTTTACCTTTCATGGCTTATCTGCTCATGTGAACTGAGAATAAATTGGCTGTGTGCATCAACACACTGCTTTTTTCACACTGTGGTTTATTATGTTAGTTCATGGTTTAATGGAGCACATGAACACTACCACTATTAAAGCCAACAGTAGCAGGCTCTTATCTAGAACTGCATGCAGACTGCTATTATTTGGCAAGGTGAACAATACATGTGGCTATCATTCCTAAATGCAATGCCTAAAAATCTTATATGCTATTAACTAAACAACTGATTATTCTTATTCCATTTTATTGCACAGTTTGGCTTATTTCTTTAAGATAACTAAAAGCTGTTTCAAAAGTCAAAGGTGCTTCTAGGAAAGTTTTCATTTGGAAGTTTGTGTTTGATATTGATTCAGCCCAATCCAGCATCCCTACTTTGTTCTCTGGCATATCTACTTCACTTCTAGTTATTTTACAGCCTGATAATCATGTTCTTTATATAAAATTGCATCCTTTATTGCCAGAAACACAGTAGTGAGGAATTATCCCGTATCCTCAGTACAGTCTCTCCTTCATGAATTCATACGCAGAGTTTATACTTTCTTTAAGCTATCACTTCTTAGAATGTTTAAAATGAACCAGGAAGTGAAATCAGAGGAACACAACAGGTAGAAGTATACAACTGTGTCTGTTAGTCAGAAACAGGTACTGCAACCACTTCCAGCACCAAATGCAAAATAATATATATTTATCCTAAATTAGTTCCATTACAATAATCTCCAAGACTGCTTTAAATACAACAGATATAATCAAATTTGTCAAGGTCCGCAATCATTTGACATTGATTTAAATTGTCTCAATTTATAGACATATTTATCCTCCCATCGTCAAGCCTTTTACTTACCTCTCAAATTTCTAGGATTTATTTGTTTTGTTCGAGGCATTCTCATCCAGTCATAGACAGTCTCTCAGAAATGGAGAACAGACTAAAATCAGCTCCATAAACATGCCAAGGGGGTCAGTGAATCCACATACTGGGGGGAAGGAGGAAAAAAAAGATTAGATGAAACATCACAAGCAACAAATCTGTAAGAATCGGGTCAGTTTATTAAGTTTATCACATTAGAGTCATATGGGCTACTATTACTTAATCATACAAGAATAGGTTGGTCTTTTTACATACAAAGTAGTCTAAGCTCCATACTGCAGACATTCAAAAATATCACAACAACCCATTTGTTCCTAGCAGCGTAACTACTCCTAGAAAAGTCACCCTCTAGAAAATCGAATGATGACATTCTTTCAGGTTTACCACTTAACATGCTTCCTTTATTCATTACAAAGTCATTTATTTAAGCACAGACCACAACAAAGGAACCACAACTGCAACTTAGCAAAGACACTAACCCTGCCATGTTGAGATCAATTATTTAGAATGATTTCCAAATTGTATCAACACTTTTAGGAAGTGGCTCTAATCTTGCAGCACACTTCCAAGGAAATTACAAAGATGGGAGAACTCCTTTCCACAGTAATTTGGGGGAGGGGGAAACATTCTACCTTTCCATGTCTTGGTCTTCAAGACTTGGTAACTATGACTATTTACAATGCACATAGGACAAGTAACAGCTCTAGCTGTTATCTTCTGGCAGCTTCAACAAGAGATCATTTCCCCCCACTACATCTTTATAATGGAAAAAGCTAGACCTTTAGAGCTTCTACCTCCAGTCCCTATAAGAAAAAGGAAGCAGCTCTAGAAAGAATAGGCAGATTACTGAAACAAACTACAGTTCAGTCATTTGACCATTTTGAAATAGGCTGCCTTGCTCACCAGCTCACACCCATTCCTTGCTTAAACCAAGTACTCAATATTTTGAAAGAGGAAAAGAACACTCTCTCAGCCACACTCCCTGCCCTGCATCAGTATATCTTACATAAAAGTTAACTGGTATCCACTAGTGTATCAATAGAAATTTGCTTTGTGAGTGCTAGCTTTCCTCACTGGGCTCTGGGACTCAAACATAGCAAAAAGTTAAAGCAGCTCTTATTAATGGATAATAAATTGAAACTAGAGGATCTCAGAGACAGACAGAAATGCTGGGGGATTTTCTTGGTTAGGAGTATGAGCCCATGCTATAAACATTCTACTCAAACTATAAACAGCTTCTCAAAAATAATCAGAAGGCAATAACTGAAGTCTGGAACCTAACTTCTATCCATTATGCAAGACATCATCAGAAATGTAGAAAAGACTATGGACATAATATAAAACAGATTCCTGTTTTCCTTGAGTGCTCTCCTTTTTAATTAATAAGACATAAGACAAAATATTTATGTTTTGTGTAAGAGACTGGGTTATGCCCCTTTAACCCACTGAAAGAATAAACTGAGGACTTAAAAAAAAACTCATGGAAGAACTCAAGTCACATTTTTCCACTGAAAAACTTGTCAGAAAAGAGAAAGTCACGGGCCTGGGTAGCACAGGGAAGAGGATTAAAGCAGAATGGTGCTGCAGGTACCCCTACCCCACAAAAAAGCAGGAGATGCTGGACCTGGCTACACAGTCCCCAGTCTGAGTAGCCAAGCAGGGAAGGCTGCTCCCTTCACCACATGCGGAGAGAACTACTTTTTTTCTCTTGGCGTTGAAGGAGGAATTGAGAACAGAAATACAGTGTGCCCTGCTCCCGTTATCTCTGCTGCCTTTGTCGCTTCCCAGACTTTAAAGTGTTTGAATGTCCTTTTCCTAACAGCAGGCTACACAAAGCCTTTGTTAGTGATTTCAGAGTTTGTTTCTGTCTCCCTCACTTTTTATGAAGTCTCATTCCCCTATCTAGCAAAACCTTTAAGAATGCAGAAACTCCTACCTTGTATGTAGGTTGCTCTGCTTCATTGCTTTACGGGTTAAAACAGGGCCACCAACACTAGAGGGAATGTAGCAAACAAATGCCTCAACAGTTCAGTCTCCAGATTAGCAGTGCCACTGGTCGATCGAGTGCAAGTACTGGCTGCCTAAGTAGTCAGCAGTTAAGAATGAAAGCTGGAATATGCTTCCTTAACACTAATGATTTAGGGATGTTTGGCTACAACATACAAAAAGCACATTACATAATATTTACACTTTTAAATAGTACTTCCGTTGGCCACCAGTAGGATTTCCCCTCTTTTTAGACTCAAGGAAAGCATATAAGAGGCGCCAGAAAAACAATCCTTTCACAAATACGAAGAGAATAAGGGTACCCCCACCCCCGGGCCTTATTTCATTACTTGGAGGGGCAGAGGGAAACGAATGGTGAAGAAAACCTGCTCTGCTTAACAAAATAACGTTCGGAAAAAATGGACGTGAAATGAGAGACGCAGTGACGGCGGGTAGTCCTGCGCTGTTGCAAAGGGAAAAACATGAATGAATAAAGAGGGAGGAGCTTGGGAAAACCCCTCTGCAACGCAGAGCTGAACAAAGCACAGCACACATGCCAGGAGGTGGAGGAGACCGAGTGCAAACAGGGACCGACCCGAGGGAGGGACAGAGCGCGCATCCGGATGCCTCCTCACCACAACCCCCGTAAAGCCCAGGCGCAAGCCTGCCTCCCTCCCTCGCCGGATTTGGAAGCGCCAAAGAAATACAAGCACATACAACCGGGAAGGACAGGAGTAAACAGGACCGCGCGCGCAAATGCAACAAACGCAGCAGACCTTGTCAGCCAGAGCCTACGATGCAGGCAGTCCGAGCCAGGCAGGCTTCTTCTGGGCCCTCGGCTTTGGACACTCATTCCCCGACTCTTCCCTGCCCCAGGGCATTCTTGACTACAGGGGACTTTGCTATATGGCTTACGTCTGTCCACGCAGCTGGTCCCCGAAAGGGCTCAGCCTAGCAAAAAGGGGCGCCTCTCCCGCCCAACAGCGATGCTTGCACACCGTGCGTGCGCGCCTCTTTCTCTCTCCCCCCCCCCTTCCGCCACCCTTCCTGGATCCCCCAGCTAACCTGCTCGGTAGGCAGCCAGAGCTGCTGCTTCTCTTGCTGATGGCGGCGGCGCTGGCGAGAAGGCGCAGCAGTCGCGGCGGCGGCAGCTGGGAAACACGGCGACCCCTGCGCGGCGGCGGCGTCTGGGATCCTCCTCCACTTGACAACCTCCAACACAAACATGACCCGGCGCTAAACCCCCCTCCCCAGAATCCTCTTCCTCGGCAGAGCCTCCCCCTCCTCCTCCTCCTCCTCCCTCCCTTGCTCGCTCGCCCGCTCACACACATACAAACGCTCCACCACAACCTAATTCTGCACAGGCACACAAACACGGCAGCGCCCCCACACCCACATGCACACGAACACTCTAGATCCCTCTCAGCGCAACTCTCTCATACCCCAGTCACTTCCTGAACATGTGAGGATGAACTAGGGAGGCTGCCCAAACACGTGGGGTGCCTTCCCTGGAGCGGGGAGTGGAGAAGAGGGACAGGACTCGAAGTAGGAAAGTCTTCTCAGGAGCCCAGCGCTCCAGAAAGCCTCGCATCCATTGTTTATGCTCAGCCTGCATTTCTGATCCTGTCTCCCGTGCCTGCAGTACAGCCACGACGCCAGCTCCTACACTGTCCCAGCAGCACTCGGCCCTCCCATGCACCGCGCCAGGCAGACCCACCGCGACCAGTGCATTGCCACATGCCACGCTCAGCACTCTCCCTCCACGTCAGTGGTCACCATCCAGGCTGCCCGCACATTTGACCAAACCCAGGAACTCCCTGCCCAGAGCAGAGCACCCCATCACCCTTCACTCCTGAGACTACCACCAGGCGGCCCAACCTCCCCTTGCCTAGCTGGAATACCCCACAGGCACTCGGTTCCTCGAGGCTTCCTCGCCCTCCAACAAGGGGCAGGCACCTCGTTTCTCTTAGGAAAAGAATCAGACAAAGGAGAGCCCCTCGGCCACATCATACCCACGTCCCTCTCCTCGTACCTCACTTCTTACTCCAGCACAGCGGCTTTCCGCGCCCATTCTGCCCGAGTACACCTACTGGCTCCTCGCTCAAAACATGCTCGAGTACCCCACCATTGCACACGTACCTCACGGGACCCCGCTTGCGACCTCCCTCAGGTAACTATCACCCTTCCGCTCCCAGCGCTAGCACGAAGACATGGCGCCGCGTGCGCCCCCCAGCACGCGCTTACATCCCTCTAGCCCATGCCTGTCCTACTCAAGAGTAGGCCACTGAAGTGAGCGGGACTTCAGCCAGACACGCATTAGATACACGCTGGGAAGAGCACCACACAGTCGCCTACGGCCACCACCCGCCAACATTGAAGCCGGGCGAAGGGCTGAGGAAGGTGTGTTGTACGTGGAGTCCGGCGTGGGGGGGGGGGGCACACGGGCACCGGCTGAACACCGAGAGAACGTCGCTGACACACGGAGTTGAATAGAGAAAGGAGGTTCCCGTCTGTGGGGCGTGCCACAGGAAGACCCTGTGAAAGGAAGCGGGGGGGGCAGTCGTGGGGTCGAGGCTGAAGGGGTGCGACGGGCGAGGGAAGGGGACGAGAGGCGGTTGTAGGTGAGGAAGCCGGGGGGGGGGGTCCAGGGGGTGAAGTGGTTTAAGGAAGGGGTCAGTGGGCGGGGACACACTAGAAGGCGAAGCAGGTCTCACGCTGAGGGAGCCGCTGCGGCTTCCCCCTTTTCTTTCTCGCCCCCCCGCGCCCCTTCCCGAGTAGTGAAGCGGGGCACGCGACGGACTACGCCTCCGGACCTTATTAGGGGAAAGGGCTGGAGGAAGGGAGAGAGAATTATTGGAAGCGGGAGGGGGTTGCTTTACCTTCCCTCACTTTCTATTGCAGGAAGCGGGCCGGGTGACGTCATCGGGTCTCCCGGGCCCCGCCCCTTCCCCTGTCTGCTTATGAGAGAAGGGGAGGGACTTGACAGAGGGAGGGGTCACTGAGGGGGTTTCCTTGTTTCCTCACCAGTCTGGTAAAGAAAGGGAAGAAGTGAAACTAAAAACTTGAGAGGGAGGGGCGGGAATTCCTTCACCACCCTTCCATTTCCGCACCGACGAAAGATTCCAGCAGCTTCCAGCGTTTTAGTTACATCGTCCCGTTTTTCAAGAAGAGCAAGTTAAAAGGGTTGCCGCTGGACACTTTCTTAGGCTCTACTGTTCTCCGATCTGTGAACGCAGTTGTCTTAGTTACTTTAGGCTGCAATCCGATCCTTACTTGCCGGGGAGCAAACCCCAATTGAGCTTACTTCTGAGTAGATACGTACTAAACTGCACTTTAGAAGACTGTTCAGTGGTGTCCATTTTGGATAGCAAACTACAACCCCGTCTCTAGTTTAAGTTCCTAATACCTGGTTCCTTTTCATATACAAATTGCACGGTCTCTCCCCCCCCACCCCCACAGATTCCCCTACTCTGCCAGTGTTTTTAAATTTATGAAGTGCTTATATCCTCTGAATTTCTGGACTAACTGAGGTACAGTCTGAGGAAGCAGTCTTGCTTAAAGTAATGTAAGCAGTGTCTTGCTAAACCAGACCAAAGTTCTTTAAAGAAACCTACCAGCCAGCAGTCACTCGGTGACATCAATCTTTCTGCCAAGTTCTGAGTAAAAACATAAGAGCAACTCCTACATTTTTTCAATACAAGGTATTATAAACTGGGGAGCCAGGAAAGCACTGGTGGGGAGGGTCCTTGTAAGATGGTTTCCTCTGTTAATTATAATTACATCTACAACAGTATTTTAACTGACCACAAGCTGTCAGAATTCTGTGGGATACACAGCTAAAAAATCAGTAAATGAGGGATGCTCCCAACCTGGGGTGGGAGACATGGAATCCTGCAGATGTTGGACTGTAACTCCCATCGACCCTAGCCAACATAGCCAGTGGTGGTGGATGATGGGAGTTGAAATTCAACAATATCTGGGCCACACATGCACCATCCCTGCTCCAATTAACAGCCTCTAACACTACTCACCAAAAAGCATTTTATGATTCCCATATTTTCCTCCTTAACTGATTTTTTAAATGGAAAACAAAAGATGGTTACACAAGTTACACAATTAGAGCTGTGCACTGCCAGTAAAATTCCATGAATGAGACAAAGCAATGACGCTGTAAAAGCCTCAGGTGTTTGTCACTGGAAGCATTCCAAGTGTTATGTCATTCAACCCATCGGACATTTAAGGGAATATAAGAGAAAGAGAGGGACAAACAGCAGCCAACCACACAGCCCTGTCCGGTGCTTGTATCTGGATTAAGCTAGAACCAGAGTTGTGAACCTGAAAAAGGTAAATTGGGGAAGCCAAATGGCACCAGTACTAAAATAGGTAACTTGGTGATGACAGACAGAAATACAAAGTAAATGGAGTCAGGCCACAGAGAAGAGACATAAAAAGCACTGTTAAACTGCAGCATCTATGCTATACCAAAAAAGTATCAAACTTTCAGAATTCTGAAAGAAGAGAGATGCCTATTATTATCATTATCATTACATTGCATTTATATCCTGCCCGGAGTAAAAGATATTCTGGAGGAGTTGCTTTCAGAATATGTTAACATGGGGGGGGGATTTCTGTTGCCTCAAAGAATATCAAAACAACTGAAGTCCCATTAGGTATCTTTTGCAGTTGCACCATTATAATTTTCTTCCTCTGTCACAGGCACATACAGCTAAAACAACGAAGTTCTTTGGCCCCTTAAAAATTATCAAATTGATTCCTGCATAAGCTTTCGCGGACTGGAGCTCCCCATATCAGATGCACGGGTGAAGTGGGCTGTAATCCACGCAAGCGGATGCCAGAATAGATTTGCTCGTCTCTGAGGTGCCACAAAACGTTATTGTTTTTGCTGCAAGACATTAAATCGGTCATTACCTCTTTTTATTTGGAAAACACTTTAGGCCGCCTTCCAAGAGCGCTGCCCCTCGAGGCGGGTGACGCACGCAGCGCACTGCCCGTGTCAGCCCAAGCGCGTACGCAAGACTCGGCGGACGCACGATGTCAAAAGGGAAGCCCACCTGGCCGTCTTGCCGAGCGGGACGCTGTCGCCCCGGTCCCTCGCCTCGTTCCCCGAGAGAGCGGCTGCCTTTCGCCGAGTCCTCAAGGGGTTAAAAAGCGAGCGAAGCCGCCCCAAAGCGCCCTTCGGGCCGCGACCCCCTCCCTCTTCGCCTGCCCCTCCCGCGCCCCCAGCTGGAAACCACAATGGGGGAAAGAACAAGACGCCTGAACTTGGTTGGAAAAGTTCTCCTACCGAGGCAAGTGCAGCGGCCCGCCCAGATGCCCGTCGCACGCCCCCCTGCAGAGGCCCGTCCCTCCCACGCAGACACAACGCACACCCTCCTCCCATGTATGCACATCGCTTGGGCTGCTGCTGACGCGGAGATCCCGGAGGTTCCTCCTTGTCGCTGCTGCTGGCAGGTCATGCAGGCTGTGCTCGCAGCAGCCTCCCCCTTCTCCTCCCCCTCCCCGCTCTCTGGGTTTTCCCGTCCGCCAGCAGCCACGCTTAATCCCCTCCTCCTTCCCGTTGCAACATACCGAGAAAGCCTTCGCGGCCAGAAATACGCCCCCCCCCCCGCCGTGCCAGCGGGCGCCTCGTGGCCGCGCCGCAAGCTGCCCTCCCTGCGCCTGCCGGACCCGTCCCGAAAACCGAGCTGAAGCAAACTTACCCGAGCGGGCGCTGCCGGGGCTTGCCGGTTAAGTTGGAACGTGCAGGCGACCAAAGCCGAAAAGCAGAGCCCCCTTCGGTCTTGGAAGTGGGCGTGAGAGGAAATACGAAAGGGAGGCGCCTAGAGCTCGCCTGTTCTGCTTCGCTCGGTCGCTCTCCTACTACCGCTTGCTCCCCTTCTTTGGCCCTTGCCGGGGTTTCGCTCGGCGGCTTTGATTGGTTTACACCATCAGCTGTTTATATAGGTCTTGGGTAGAAGGTCGTCTGGAGGGTTGTTGAGGGGTGGGGGTTTCTTTCTAGGCTAGGGGAAGGGGGGAAAATTCCTTGCTAGAGAGAAAGTATTTTAATACAACTGCTGCAGCTTCTGCTACTACGGGGGAATGGGATCGAGCTCTAGTCATACTTGGAACAAACCCATTGAAATCAATGGGTTTTCAGAGCCGGGCCCATTGAAATTGTAAATTAGGCTCTATTTATATCCATAGTTCCACTCCGCCTATGACTATACCTGGATCCTACCTGGTATTTGTACACATTCTCCTGTGGTGTATTGATATTACTTTTAAAAGTAGCCCAAATAATCGGATTTTTTTAAAGTACAAAAATGAAGGTAGGTTAGTTTAAATCTTAAAATTACACAGAACATGCAATTTGCATTGATTTAAAGCATGTTTTACCCCCATCTTTCCACAAAATGTCCAAAACGGCTAATAACTGCTAAAACCAATGCCTTTTCCCTGGGAGTAAACCTTCTTAAATTGAAGGGAGTGTACTTCTGAGTAGATATGTAGGATTGCACCATAAAATGAGTTGCACATTCTCTGGACCTGTTCCCTTCCGTGCCCCCAAACACACAATGGCTGTTTGCAATGCAGCCTCAAAGAATTCTGGGCACATTACAGAAAACTTTTGAGGATGGGACCATGTGTTGTTTTAATGTTTGCATTATTATTATGAATTTTACTTAGATTTTGATCTATCACAGCCTTTGGACTCAGAGACAACTAAGTATTTAAAACTAATAAATGCCCTCAAATACAATGAGTGTAGAAAAGAGGGCATATATCTAAAAATCCCATTAGCCGTGGTTACATGCATGTCTGAATGAAAAACCTCCTAAAAGAAAGATGCTCAGTTTCTGGCAAATTGTATGCAAATCCCACTACATTCAGGGCCTGTTTAGATTCAGTCCTAGAAAAGATGCCTGACCATGCAAGCTTATGCATGTTTGGAGGAAGAGGACAACTCGTACCATTCCAAGACCTGAACTTTTGTCCATCTAATTATGCTGAGTATTGCACCTTGACGCTTTTAATTTTAAAACTTCTTGTCTCCCACGTGTTCCTTTTCTTGGCCTTATTCCTTATGGAAGTGAATGGGTTAACCGAATTATTC